TAACGCTATGGGTGGAAAAACAAGCCACTTTACGAACAGCATATATTTCTATCAACGTTATGCCAGAGAAGTTAACTGAACAAGAATCTCAAATAAGTAGTTCTCATTCTGAAAATATCGATTTTTACATCAATAGCAGGATGAACAAAAACATCATAGATTTGATGAATTCACTAAACAACTTAAATAAAACGCCATCAAAAGCTTTTATAGAACTAGCAGCTGCTTTGATGAAGCGTTTATTTCCATCACCAAATTCATCAAATGAAAAATCAAACACTTAAGCAGAAAACAACTACCAAAGTTGGTGCTTCTCCTTGAAGAACAACTTAGAGTACTAAAGAAGCTCCAACCAACAAACTACCGGAAGGTGACCGCTTTAAAAAATTAAGTCAAGAATTTGTCAAAAAGTAATGGTGAATTGACTGTAAATTTAAAGTGGTTACTTGAAGCTATTTACAGTATCAAACCAACTTGGATTGATTCTGAGAGGGCATTTTCCGTGGCCAACAATTTTTGCACCAAAATTAGGTCGAAGCTATCAGATAAATCACGACATGCACTGGTGTTTTTAAAATATTTTTTCATTAATATAAATGGATAAATAAATGTATAAGTAAAGAAAAAGTTTCTTTTAAATTTCTAAAAAATATTATTTTAATTATAAGTCCATTATAAGTCTTTTGATAATGTAAGTATGTCAACTTCAAATGATCGAAAGCTCGAAAAAACAATCAAGTTCGAGCTCGAGCTTAACCGAGCTTCAAATCATCGAGCTTTACCAAACCCCATTCTCATAGATAAAGCGAAGAGCATCGTTTGATATTCATTGTTCTTCTATTTTGCACTTTATGAATTGAGTTAGACGAGTGTATTAAATTTTATGAAATCACCGGCATTGGAATAACTTCGTTTTATGGAGCTCTTCACTTTTAATAATTTTTTATATTCATGTATTCTTTATTACATATTTTTGTTTGAAATGAGCGTTTTTTTAAGCCCTAGGCTTTAAAACTTTAAGTAAAATATGCACATATAATTATTTGCAAAGTTAGATTATGATTTAAGCGATCCCACCCATTGCGACAATTACTCTATTAATCTGTGCCTGAAAATTAAAACATACGTCGCCTATGTAAGAATTAATTGTATTAGAATATACAAAAGGATCTGAAAAAATAATAGAAGTGAAAGTATAAAATTGACATATATAAGAGTGATTGCATTTAGTTCTCTGAAATTTGTTTTAAAATCCGCCGTTATTATAGCAACCGAACGATTTTATTTTATTTATATGATGAAAAGCGTTATTTTAGCTAAGAAAATTATTTTTTTCTTTTTATTACATTTAACTAATATATCTCGAAAATTTTCTTTTCGTATACTTTAATGAAATCTTTATAAATACCGTCAAATTAAAGTTAAAAACAACCGTGAAGAACAGATTCAAATACTTTTCGTTCGAAATAAGATCCCTTCTCTTTTTACTTTCTTGTATGAAGTAAAAAGGAAATATTGTAATCGCGAAAAGTTTCAGGCAACATATTTCAACGAAAATATCCATTTTGACCGCTATCGAATGCAATTTAACGATGTTTTTGCGTGATATCTGTTCGTAAGGACAGAATAAAATACTCTTTTCCTCCAAAAAAATTATAAAAACTGCTTTAAAATTAATTCTCAAGAGAATTTTTCGTGGCGTCTGTACGAACGTATGTACGTACGTACGTATCTCACATAACTCAAAAACGAGTAGCCTCAGAACATTGATATTTTGTATATAAGACTGCTATAACATGTAGATGTGCACTTCGTATTTTGATTGCAATCGGGCGTCCCAAACGTATATAAATATATTTTTATATATATATCCACTCTGTTACCCGGCTCAGTGATCTCAGTTTCTTTACTCTTATATGTTTGTAAATTGTACATTTTTTGCTTTAAAAATGATTGAATTGTGTTGTTCTTATCTTCCGGTTAAGGTTTTTATGCCTTTCGTAATTCTGGAACCAACATTTGTACAATTATCAACAATTTAAAAGCTGTTTAAGTGCGGTTAAGTTTTAAATAACATGGCGGACATATTTGTTTACATTTGAAACAGCAGAATTGTAGCCAATCTAGAGAGACTAAGCTTCGCAACAACAAAGATAACGCCTTAATTTATTATTGTGACTTAAATCATGCTTAATACTTCCTGGAATTTTTTCGAGGAAATAAGTGTTTAAGATTTACTTCGTAATTTTTAATATAGATATTTTCAGTTTTTATGTATTTTTGCCTTGTCGCGAAGTGAGAACTGAATTAATTGAATGAGAAATACTAAATCGTCTGTGAAAAACTATTTCTTTTCTGTTTTGTTTGCTTAAATTTTTTCATACATCGTTTTAGCTTTATTATAGTATTTGAATAGGACATGTGGCAACGATAATTCTTCAAAGGATATAAATTTTGTGCGTTCAGAGTGCCGTTTATAGTAAACAAATATAGTGAATTTTAAAGAGTGCATTTATTCTGTTGTGGTTTATGCGCTGTCGACGAAGTAGATTTAGATCAATCCACTCAATTTAAATGAAATTCAAGGAAAAAAATGCGTATAATTTAATATTCCTTACAAGGAAGTCATGTGGTGTACACATCAGATTTTTTTTTTCAGCTATTCGTTTTAAAAATCACTGAATTAAAAAACTGAAAAGTTTAAATTGTATATGCATAAGTAGGCAAAGGTTTCATAAGATATTTTGTTTCCCGTGAAATGTGTGGACAATCGCAGATGGTATTGTGGTCAACGCAGATTGATAGATTCTCTCGCATCTGGGTATGAGTTCAAATCCCAGATTAACATTTGTAACTGTAGTGTCTTTGCATCATGGGAAACCCTTAAAATCTGTCGAGCCAAAAGTTTTCTAAAGATTGTATGAAAAGGGAGTAAGAGATTCTCGCGTTTAATCTCTTTGAAGAGCCTTGAGCGGACAGGTAGCTTTCGTCCGCTCAAGGCTTTGCATAACTGGTGGGCAAAACTTAAGCAACAGGTGTTTTTTTTTTTTCCATAACTCCACGAAAAATCATTTGAAAGACATGAAATTCAGAAATGAGAGACAACATTTTGTATTTAAACGATGACGAAAGCGTAGTTGAGTAAAAATGACTACAATGCATACATTATGGAATCAAACAAAAATAGACTTTATTAACTCATAGAATCGTTAGACATGATTGTCTGTACAAGAGGAAGAACAACAAGCAGATGTTCCTTAGTATGGGATATGCCCTTCTCTGACTACAATGGTTGCTTCGCACCGTCTCTCCATACACAGTACCAGATTGTCCAACAGATCTTGAGGTAAGAGTGCCCATTCGTCAATCAGCATCTGTTTCAGTTGTTGGATGTTCCCCGGAGGATATAATCGTGCCGCAAGGCGTCTTCCCAAAGCATCCCACACACGGGATTTAAATTAGGGTAGTATGCTGGCCAATCCATTCGAGTGATATCTTCACTTTCCAGTAGCTTCTGTCCGTTGTGGCCGTGCATTGTCATCCATAAAAACGAAGTCTGCTCCAATGGCACCTCGGAACAGACGCACATGAAAAGGATCACCTCCTGACAATAGCGATCTTCGGTTACAGAACTTCTGTCGAAAACGTGAAGCTCTGTCCACCCGTTCAGCATAATGACTTCTCAGTCGAGAACTCCAGGATCACTGTAACGGTCTCTTTCTGTGATGTTATTGGGATGAAACCGTACCCCGACCTCTCTTCAAATCAGCTGGCTTTCAGAATCGCTTTTGGCACTAAAAACGACTCTCATCCGTAAAAAGGATACGACTCCATTGATGAGATGTCCATTTTGTATGCTTCTTGCACCACGCTAAACGATGGCGCCGATAGCGAACTTTCGAAGGAATGCAGAGTTCAGGACCGCGGGCGAATAGGCCACCTGTGTGAAGGTGGCTGGACACAGTAAACAGTGACACTTGTCTCCCCGTTGCTATACACAGTTGCTGAGCTATGGCGCTTGCTGACTGGTTTCCGGCTCTTTTCTCCTGCAGCATGATATATCGGTCATATACTGCAATTGTTTTCTTGGGGCTGCCACCACCAACCTTTCTAACAGCTGTATCTATGTTTTGGAAAAATTTCCAAGCGCGCGAAATGACATTTTTGCTGATTCTGAACTCTTCAGCTATATAGGTCACACTACGTCCCTCCTCTCGCTTTCCGATCATTTTTCCACGTGTGAAGTCATCCAGGTGATTTCTTCTTACCATATTTCACGAAAGAACTCACCTGTACTTGTAGCGAATGTCTTTAATTACGTCTCCGTCCTTCCTTTTATTGTAGTCTTGAGTTGAGCGCTCCGACCGCATGCATTTTGCGTACGCTCACGTAGCCTGTGACGTTTGTTCCTGACATTTGCATACGCATGACCTTTCTACTGAATTGCGTGTTCATTGTACTGATCGCAAGAACCCATTTTCTGCAATTTCAAGGCTATCTGATTATAATTTACATTGTTGCTTAAGTTTTGCACACCACTGTATAATCCTTTTCATGAAATACGCATGCGATAGTAAACATGGCGTTTAGATATATAATAACTGGGCAGCGGTCTGGCATAATTCTCCCGAACTTCCATTAAAAAGTCACAAACCATTTCTTCAGTTGTAGATTAAACCAAAGTTAAATAAGCTTCATTACTTTTCAGCTATTTATTTGGAAACTTTTAGAATATGTGGTAGCAAAATTTACTACCATATATTGGTGGAAGAATTGTATAAAATAAAACAATAACAATGCACTCAACTTGTTGGATATTTTAAAACTATGGAATTTTTAATTTTTAAAGGATTTTGTGAAGTAATTAAAATGTAATAAAGTACATATGAGGATGTACCCTAAAACATATAAGTATGTATTCTAGTAAGCGATTTTTATGTTTAAATTTGTTTTGCTTATTTTTGCAAATTCTTAATTATTATTTTTTTTTCCGTTTTCAGACTTTGATAAATATGGCATACTGCTGTTTTATATTGATTGGAAAGACAATTCAGAAGTTAGTATTTGGTGATCTGCGAGTGTCTGAACAACAGGTATGAGATTCTTTCATCAATATTTGTCAGATAAAATTGTAGTGCATGGCATATTAATGTGTATTCAAAAGTCTTGAAAATGGAATTACATTATATGCACTGATAATCAGTCAGTTTATTTATTTTATATAAAACAATATTCCACAACTTTTTATGTTTCATTTACTTCTTGAAATTACACGTGTCTTCAGTGCCTCTTCATAAGTAATTAGTCTGATGTATTTTTTTTCTTTGGAATGAGCAAAAGATAGACCTATCATTGTTAAATCTAATTTCATCAGACTGCTTTTGGAATGGAGGTATTTCCCTTGAGGTCTTTCTAGGGTGGAATAAGAGCTTTTCCACACTTTTGATATTAGGCTAAGCAGGCATGGAAATTGTAAACCGAATGACTCGGTGTACCCAATGGTTAAATATATTAAAAGGGTATCTTTGTCTTACGTCTTAGGATATGTATTATACACACTTTAAACGTCAGTTTAACACATTGCCTTACCGCGCAACATTACCTTTAAGTCTCTTAATGTGCTTGCTGTCTTTTCAGGTTTGAAAACTGGTTTCTTTTTTCAATTTTTATTTCCATTGACTGAGCAAGTTGACTGATCTTATGTCATCTGAATTTTTTTTTGTGTTTGTCTTTTGTGATCATTTTAAAGTTATATAAACAGTTTCTAAGAAGCCCAAATGAGTCGTAATAGAAGAAATTATTTCTCTGGATCGGTTTTCTGTGCCCAATTCCTGTATCAGTTGAGACATTATTATTAGATAATTAACTTTAGAGCTGCAACTAGAAATCTTATGCCGCTGCAGACTGCATCTAAAAGAAAAATGTTCTGTTTAATCAAGATTCGAAAGTTCAGCTTAAAATCTGATTCTAAATGTGCTATACATTTAGCAAAAACTATCAGTGCGACATATATTCATCGATTACGATCGATAGTGTGAGAAGGAATAATGATCACTTTATATAACATTTTGTACATGTTCGGCGCAGTATCTATATCGTCTGGGAATATCGAGATAAAAAACAGTGCGTAGAATGTTTTTAAAGTGGTATGTGTGAATCTGACTTTCTTCTATAGTTAACATGCGTGTAGATTGGGCGAATCAGCTAGTGATTGAAACTGAAAGCACTGAGCAAATAAAGGGGCAGCGAATCTATTGATTTGAATATCTTGGAACGCTGTTGGAAGAACTGTTGAGACCCTTAAATTTCTTGGTACGCTAATGGAAGATCTCTTGTATGACGAAATTCATCTATAGTCTTGAAGACCAGGAGTAAAAAATTCTAAATAAGGACTAATATTGAAATCATGATATAGCGTTGTGATATTGGCGTACAAGCTGGGAAATATCACTGTCATTATTAATATAAAAACATGCACGTATGCACTTTTTCTAAAATTTCGGTTCCACATATGATTTCATTTTTATTTGTTTTATGTAGTTTTGTGCTATACATATTCATGTTTAAGTTTTTGATTTATATTCTGTTACACTTAGGAAAATGATTTTAGGTCACAATGTATGTAAAAAGGAGCTGTTATTAAATATAATTTTAGTAGGCATATAAGACTACTGTCAAATATTCTTTATAACTAAATTAATATTTACTAAAATATTAATTAACCAGTCAAACTAGTTGTCTGAGTGAGGATGTCAAACCTGAGATAATGCAGTTTCATTAATTTATTTTTGTCACTTGTAAGGCTTATCTGTAGCCTATCTTATTAAAATAAATATTATTTAAAAGGCTTTTGATAATTTTAATGTTGATTCTTACTGTTCCCAAAGGTTGGCGAGTTAACTTAAGTTCAAGTAGTGTCTCCACAGTACTCTTCCTCCAGTGTCAACGAAATTAAAGGTACCGAGGGTTAAATCGGACCGTACGTCCAGAATGTGTATGCTGGGGAACACTTGGCTTCTGGCGTCCAGGCACGTGTGATTATGCAGTTGAGACTGGGACGTGTAGATACCAGGAGTGAAGGTGTAGGAGCCTACGAAGGGGGTATGACTGACGTATAATTCGTGACAGTTTCTGGTGCAAAGATAAAAGTTTGTTTGAGAAGATCAAGGCTCACCACTTTGTTTCCGATAAGTAACGATAGTTCTTGGATGTGCGACTTAGAACTAGATGTAGGCTGGTATAAGTAAGCTCAAAAACTTTTTTGATGCATCTCACCTTAAAAACACATGCAAGGATGTAGCAAGGTCTTTGGGAATAAACACAGGTCTTGAAGAATGTATATTAGTGGATGTAAGAAATAATGTAACCATGGTTTCGCCCAAGTCTCTGAGAAACGCATGAGGCTGGACATTGTTTAAGTTTTTTGTGGGGTTTGTAAAATCTCCAGGCAAACGTAAATTGACACAGTAGACCATTTCAGAACTGAAAGAGCCCAGGTCCTCTTTAAAAGTTGCTGTTCTCACGACACTATGGGAAAAACATTAACCCAGTGAATAAAAGTATGTCATGTAACGGCTTATTTAAGAGAGCGATGAAACCTCTCATCAAGGCCATTGGAATTCGGGTGGTACGGTGATGTGGGGATCTTCTTAGCCCCCAAGAATTTCGTAAATAATTGGGACTCGAACTGCCATCCTTGGTCCGTGGTAACGGACTCGAGTACCCCAAACCGTGAAATCCACACAAAAAAATATTTTTTGGCCACCGTATCAGCTGACATTTTCACAACAGGAATAGCCTCTGGCCAACTTGTGTACCTGTCGACACACGTAAGAAGGTATGTATAACCTTATGATGGGCGAAAGGGTCCAATCAAATCGATATGGACGTGGCTGAAGCGAGCAGATGGTAACTCGAAACGTTGCAATGGAGTTTGAGTGTGCTGTGAATTTATGACTTTTCACAGTGTACAAGGGCAGTAGCTCATATGGCGATGTTCATCTGCATACCAAGCCATACAAAATGCTATTAAATTAATATGCGGGAAGCACGGATGCCAAGATGGGATAAATTATGGAGGCTTCTAAAAATACTATGTCGGAATTTCAATGAAATGTATGGCCGTACCACACTGTCCCACACATCGCAGTACAGTGAAACGTCTCGTTCCAAGTGCCTTGGTAAATTATAACCATTAGAAGATTTGTCAGGCTGAAGACTTTGCAATTCTGAATCCCATTTCTGACACTGCAATGGCGGAGAAGTATGCTGTTGAAGGTAACTGAACATCTGCAAGATTGGACAGAGCATCAGCAATCGTATTTGGAGGGCCTTCGACATAACTAATATCAATTGTAAACTGTGCTATGTCATCGAGGTGACGCATTTGCTATGGAGAGGCCTTGTCATGTTTTTTTTTTTTTTTTTTTTTTTTTTTTTTTTTTTTTTGAAAGCGAAAATCAGAGGCTTGCGATCGATGTGTATAGAAAACACTCGACCTTCCACCGTAGAAATGTTTGTAGAAAATGTTTAACTGCCTCATATGCAGTAAGAAGTTCACGATCGTACGTGCTGTATTTTGATTGTGATGCAGAGAATTTTTTGAGAAAAATGGCTTTCATACTCTGTGTACCAGTTGCTGCAACACTGCGCCTATGACCTTATTAAGCGTGTCGATAATAAATGCTAAAGTATGCTTAGAAGGGTAGATAAAGCTGTTGACGACACTAGGTCGTTCTTACATTGTACAAGCCTGTACGAGATTCGGCCGACGAAATAATTGGCCACATATAATTTTTTCTTGCTGCCGGCTAGATGCGTTTAAAGGCGCCTGCTTTGCAGTGGCATGAAGAAGGAAACGACAATAAAATGTTTAACATGGCCAGAAAATGGCGCAACTCCTGGACAGTTCTTAGCTCTGGGAAATTCTGAATTACCGTGACTTTGTCTCTAAGCGGGCGAACACACTTCATGGAAACTTCGTGGCCAAGAAACGACACTTAAGATTTTCGGAAAGCACATTCCTGATGCATTGACAACTACGCCATAGGAATGAAATCCGTCAGAGACTAAACGAAGGTGCTCAAGGTGATCATTTTCTTTTTTGAAACTATAAGAGTATCATCGAAGTATGGAACGCAATAATCTAAATCGTGAAAGACTTCGTTTATGAAATGATGAAACGTTTGTGAGGCGTTATACAACATGAAAGTCATAACAAGAAATTCGAATAATTCAAAAGGTGTTATGACCGCGTTCTTTTGGTATGTTGGATGAATTGATTGGAATTTGATGAAAAGCGCAAGACCGATCTAATATAGAAAAAACATTTTTGCCGTATATTTTTGCTCGCTCATATTCAGGACTGCATGCATATTCATATTCCTGAATATGAGGAACCGGATATCTGTCTGGTAAAGTAACTGCGTTAAGATGTCGATAACCGCCAGTCGCCGTTTTACATGGGTACCGTGCGGAGTAGACTGGCTAATGAACCTTTTGAGGCCGACAAATTCCCTGTTCCAGCATGCATTTAAATTTTTATTTTGCGGCCCGTAATTTCTCTGGAGGCAACCACCTTGCTGTGGGCAAAGATTGATGATCAAGTGGTCTCTATGCGATGTACAATACCGTGGTGAGCAGCGGTTTGCCGGTTTCCGAGCGGATGGTATTAGGATTCTGCTCAAGTAGTTTGTGAAAGTTCGTATTGCCGGGAATTAATTTAATTCCAAAATGAGTGGCATTTCCGATACTACCTACAGCGGCTGACTCTAACCGTCCTAGAAGATATGGTAATTAATAGTTGGAGCAATATCTGGAATGATTCGAATAGAAACAAGGAACTTTTCAAATGTTTTTGTAAATAAAAGGGAGAATGTGGCTAATTAATGGCATTGATTTTATTCAGTTGATTAGAGACGACGAGACATGGTCGTTTTCGGTTTTATTTGCACGGATTTCGTATACAGGAAAATCAGAATTATCATTTTTGCAAAGCATTAGGAGATAATAAACATTTTTTGTGTGGATGTGGTCGAACTTTTTCATTTCATCAAGATTTTAGGATTACTTCTACGGAAGATTTATATGAAAGGAAGAATTAAGACTGCTGGAGAGATCATGGAATT